GGGAAATAGACAAAAGGGTATACCGGGAGGAGGAGACCCGTTGCAGAAGGATTCTTCGCAAGGCTAAGGCTGATTAGGAGCTGAGACTTGCCAAGAATATAAAGAGCAACAAAAAGGGCTTCTTTCAGCATGTAAATAGGAAGTGGGAGACAAGTGGTGGGACCACTAAATAAGTAGGAAGGAGATCCAGTGACTGATATGAGGGTACAGGCACAGATGCTAAATGACTATTTTGCCTCTGTGTTCTCCCCAAAGCAGGACGGGGGATATCCGCATAGGAGATTAGATGAGGCTGGGGACTTAGGGGCACAGATTAGAGTCACCCCCCTTGAAGTCGAGGGGCTCCTCAGGGCATTGGACATTGCATAGTTGCCAGGCCCTGACGGGTTTCACCCAAGAGTACTTAGAGAGTTGGCAGGGGTTCTCTCATGCCCACTGGCCTCCATTTTTGAGACCTCATGGAGAACAGGTGTTGTTCCAGAGGACAGGTGGGTGGCATCAGTGGTCCCAATTTTCAAAAAGGGTAGTAGAAAGGACATGGGGAATTATAGACCGGTTAGCCTTACTTCCATTGTAGGAAAAACAATGGAAAGGCTCATAATAGAGAGAGATCTAGTGATGCTAGATAGGGAAGGGAGGCTGACAGCCACACAACAAGGCTTCTGCAAAAACAGGTCCTGCCAGACAAACCTTGTGGAATTCTATGACAAGGTTTTGCAATGGCTAGATGGAGGGGATGCAGTGGATGTAGTATACCTGGATTTCAGCAAGGCCTTTGACAAAGTGCCCCATGATATCCTGGTGGAGAAACTGAGGAGTTTTGGGATACCCCAAATCACTGTCCGGTGGATTAGGGCATGGTTGACTGACCAAAAGCAGAAGGTAACCATTAGCGGGGAATCATCGGGATGGCGGCCAGTGACAAGCGGGGTCCCCCAGGGCTCTGTCCTTGGGCCGATGGTGTTTAATCTTTTCATTAATGACATGGAAGAAGGGGTGAACAGTCTGCCGATCAAATTCGCAGGTGACACTAAAACTGGAGCAGTGGTCACAAGTGAGGAGCAGGTACTCCAGATTCATAAGGATCTGGACAGACTATGGAAGTGGGCAGGAGACAACAGGATGGCGTTCAATGTGGATAAGTGCAAGGTCTTGCATTTGAGGCATAGGAATGGATGTCATAAGTACAGGTTAGGGGACAAGTGGCTGGAGAGCAGCACTTGTGAAAGAGACTTTGGGGTACTGGTTGACTGTAGGCTACACAGGAGTCAGCAGTGTGATGCGGTGGTCAAGAGGGCGAATGCCACCCTTGGTTGCATAGCCAGAAGTGTGGCTTCTAGACTGAGAGAGGTATTACTACCACTCCACATGACTCTGGTGCGCTCGCAACTGGAGTATTGTGTTCAGTTTTGGGCCCCTCATTACAGAAAGGATGTAGCCAGGTTGGAGTCAGTGCAGCATAGGGCCACAAGGTTGGTGGCCGGTTTGTAGGGGATGCCGTATGAGGCGAGACTGAGGGAACTGGGTCTCTTCAGCCTGGAGTAGAGGAGACTCAGAGGGGATCTGTTGGCGACATACAGGTATGTGAGGGGATGTCACATGGAGATGGGTAGAGACCTGTTCTCCCCTGCAGAGGAAGGCAGGACACGATCCAATGAAGCAAAGCTCAGGGAGCCAAGGTTCCATTTGGATGCCAGGAAGCACTTCCTGACAGTCAGGACCCCGAGGGTGTGGAATGGGCTTCCACGAGAGGTCATTGAGGCCCCATCGGTGTGGGTGTTCAAGGATAGGCTGGATGTCCACATGGTGGGCATATCATGAGCGGGGCCGGCTGGTGCCGGAGGTCAGACTAGATGGCCCGGGAGACCCCTTCCGACTCACTCTGTTTTCTAGGTTTCTATCTTCCTCCAATCATTTTCATGGGGTGACCTCTTGGGCTTTGTGCTCCCTTCCCTAACTTGTGGCCGGCAGCCTGTCTTTGCCTCAATTGCTGTGGACTCGAATCATGTCCAAACATTTGAAGGGACTCTGGACTGCCGTCTGCTGCTTCCTTTTCTACCAGTTTCCTCTTTTGAAGCCTGTGTCAGACCTTCTTAGCGATCTTCCATCTTGCTGTATATGAAAGCAGACAGCACAGTCGTCACTGCCACATGTCAGTTCCACACCATTTGCACACTGAGGTGATTAACTCCAGGATGGTCCCTCCATGGTTCATTCCAGGACCAGCACAGCCATGAAGGACATCAAGAACCTCCTCTCTTCATTATTGCTGGAGCATGCATTCTTCAAACCAAGTTTAGGATAGGCTCTCTTCGTGTGCGGGTCTAGTGACAGATTGGGACAGATTCATGGATGTAGTAAACATGTAAGTCCAAGCTGGGGCTCCAAAGGCAGTCTCGCATACACAGCAAAGTCCACAATGCCACCTCCCAGCAACACCTCAGTTGAGGCCAGCTCTGCAGTCTTGCCAGGGGTGTTTTGAGAGGAGGGCAGGCTGAGCATCAGCAGCATCTCCACCTGTTGGGTTCTCAGTCTATGAAAGCGCACAGCAAGAAGGTTGATGAATGAAGCAGGTTTCTCATGAAGGAAAACACAGCCACTTGAGTGTGAGGCGAGTGTAGGCAGTTGTTGTTGAAATGAACCCCCAAGGTCCATCACAGACCCACGCACAAGAAGTGCCTGAATGCAGCCATTCAGTCTTTCCACATCGGCTAACGTAGCAATCTCCCCTGACTTCTAGCTTCACCCCTTTCTGAGGGAGCACCTGTTGCTTAATAATTCCATCCTGGACGGAGTTGCTCTGGATGCGCATGGAGAGCTGGAGGCTGACTTTGACATCGAGTACTGGATGGTGTCTCCCAATCGGTTCATCACCAGACAAACCTTGGGGAGGATAGAACGATTGGGATCCCCAGGGGAAAAATTCACCATCAGCCACAGTGCCAGTGCATTGGCCCAGCAGATCAACAAGGTGGGGGAAGCCAACTATTCCTTCCCATGTTACTGCCCTGCTCTGTTCTGCTCCCACTGCCACAGCACACTCTGGTGGGCCTCCCTGGATGAGCGCTGAGAGGCTCTTGAACTGGCTTCATCTCCTTTGCAGGCACAGCTTCTCCGGGTCCTGGGGGTGACCTCAAATGGCCCTTGGGGATGAAGCACACAATAGCCTGGAGGGTGGCCTTGAGTGGTGCCGTTCTCTCTGACATGTCCCCATCTGGTCACGAGTGGAGAGGGAGCTTCTTACAGGGCTGGACCCCCAGGAGAAGCCATGGGTCTCAGTGAGGCTGTCCAAGGATAGGATAGACATGTGCATGGTATGCCGTGAGTGGAGCCAGCTAGAGTCAGTGGTCAGACTAGATGGCACGGGAGGCTCCTTCTGACTCACTCTGTTTCTGTGTTTCTATGTCTCCCCTCTGCTCCTCTCTGATGGTTTCTGAGAGAATGCAGAGAGCTGCCCTGAACCAGACCGTCAAGGCCAGAAGCCCCTCTGCAGGGTGGAATCATAGAAGCGGAGAAGGGCATAAAGCATCCCATGCCCATCTTCCCCAGCCACTGGTCTGTCTAGACACACTGGCTCACACACAAGAGGTCATGTAGGGCCCTCACAATAAGCCTTCCCATCCTCCATGAATATTACTCTCCCCTTTTACAATTGTCCAAACTTCGGTAGGGCCGCTAGCCCAAGAGAGGGACATAGAAGTATTCAGAATTAGAGTTTTGTTTGAAGAATGTTGGAGAGGGTTCAACTCTTCACTCTGTGTATGCTCAGAGGCTTAGTAAAAAATAAATAAATCTGATGAGCTTGATGCTGCTGTGAGGGAGGGAGAAGGCCGTCGTCTTGCTGCAGACACCCACGAAACTGCCTGAGCACAAGCCAGGCCACTGCTCTGTCGCACGGAGGGTTGTTGCTAGCTCCCAACAGCACCCCTTCATGCTCAGGCACATTTTCCCATTTAGGCATGTAGGATTTGCCTTGAAGCACCCACTTGATGCTTCATGCTCAGCGCTTGTGGCCCTTTACCCAGTGGTAGAGGACAGGTCCCAGCCGCAAGGAGTTTACAGTCCCAAATCGGACCTAGTTAGGATGCATGGTGGGGCATGCCCCAGGGCAAGGGGAAGGGAGACACCTGTCACTGCTGCCCTTGGAAGCACTCAGCTCTGGCTGTGGGTCTCCAGGCAAGCAGGGGCCTCTGGGAGACTTCCTGGCCCTTTCCCACTGTGTGGTTCCTTCCTGTGAAAAGAGGCTCCTCCCTGTGTCCCTCACAGTCTGCTCTCTGTTCAGCCCCTGCCCCGCTCCAGGTGCGTGGAGAGCTGCCACCCGGGATACTTCAAGATGGCTCAGGAAGGGAAGCCAGTCTGCTGCTACGCCTGCGCCCCCTGCCCGGAAGGGACCATCTCTACCCAGGAAGGTGGGTGGCTCTGGGGAGGAGGATGCATGGGGAGGAGGGGGAAACACCCACTGACAGGCCAGTGAAGGCTTCCTGAGAAGCATGTTGAGCCCTTTCTTGTCCTGCATGAGGGATTCCAGAATGAGCCTGGAGGGCAGGCTGAAGTGGGGCAGCCATGATAAGCGTGGGTTGTTTCCTCCCCAGTTGAGAGGCCCAGTGACCAGAAGGAGTGCAAACCCCCCTCTTGGCCCCAGCGGCTCTTCAGGCTGGGCTCTTATAAGGATGACTAACCACTCCACCCACCATTCAGCATGTGTCCACCACCCATCCAGTTTCAGAGCAACACAGGAAGCCCCCTTGCATGTCCTGGTCACCCCCTTGGCCCCTCCAGACCAACAAGGCTGGCAGTCCTGTCCTGCCATGATCCCACTTGGGTGCCAATGTCCACAGGCAAGCTTGGGACAGCTGCAGGTCAGTCATGCCCCACCTTTGGGCATAGGCACTGTGTTGTGGCCCATTGTACCTCACGGGGTTGTTGTGCAGATGGACTGGAGAGGAAGGGGTTTCGATTAGCCACCTTGGATTCATCAAATGAAAAAAAACAACAACAAAATGGGAAAAATACCTAAGGATTTTCACTTGCACTTTGCAGATACAGAACGTTGCCTGAAGTGTCCAGAAGATCAGCATCCAAACAAGTCCAGGGATCAGTGCATCCCCAAGGACATCACCTTCCTGTCCTTTGAAGAACATCTGGGGATCATCCTGGCTGCCTTTGCCCTCACCTTGTCCTTAACCACAGGCCTTGTGCTAGGAATCTTTGTTAAATTCCTAGAGACCCCAATCGTCAAAGCCAACAACCGGGACCTTTCCTACATCCTCCTCGTCTCCCTTCTGCTCTCCTTCTCGTCCTCCTTCCTCTTCATTGGACAACCAAGGGAAGTGACCTGCCTCCTCCAACAAGCAGCCTTCAACATCATCTTCTCAGTGGCTGTCTCTTCACTCTTGGCCAAAACCATCACTGTGGTGCTGGCCTTTCTGGCCACCAAGCCAGGCAACAGGGTTAGAGGATGGCTGGGGAAGAGCTTGGCCAACTCCATTGTCATCTCCTGCTCCAGTATCCAAGTTGTCATTTGCACCATCTGGCTAGCCACCTCTCCACCTTTCCCTGACTCTGACATGCACTCCCAGGATGGGCAGATCATTCTGCAGTGCAGAGAAGGCTCTGTGGCCATGTTCTATGCTGCCCTTTGCTACATGGTCTTCCTGGCTGCCGTCTGCTTCATGGTGGCCTTCCTTGCCAGGAAGCTGCCTGGGGCCTTCAACGAGGCCAAGCTGATCACCTTCAGCATGCTGGTCTTCTGCAGCGTCTGGGTGTCCTTTGTGCCCGCCTACCTGAGCTCCAGGGGCAAGTACATGGTGGCCGTGCAGGTGTTCTCCATCTTGGCCTCCAGTGCTGGCCTGCTGGGCTGCATCTTCCTCCCCAAGTGCTACATTATTCTAGTGAGGCCTGACCTGAACATGAAGGGGCATCTCACCATGAAAACGAAAGATGACACCTGATCGGTATCCAGATGGTCTTCAGAGGCTTCTCTGCATATTGATCGGGACTCGAAACCAATAGCGAGGACAAAAAAAAAAAAAAAAAATAACTAGGTTCTTAGGGAAGATTGAATTTTCTTTATCCTCCCAAATTGATTAATAGAACATTCAGGACTCCTGAAGTTTTTTATGGGAGCTGTTACCAGATAGAGTGACAAGCATCTACAAAGTTCCAGATCATACACAGCACACTTTTATAATCCTCCCTTCACATACACCAAATATAGAGCATTGGGTTGTCCAGTAACAGTCCAATGAGATCTCATTTGCTCTGTACAAAAGACAATAACCAAAATCGGTCAGAAATGCAAGTGACAACAAAAATGGAAATATTACAAATTTAGCTTCATTGCCATTCCAATTACACAAAGTATTTGTAAATAAACCCATCAGGGCATCAGTTTGCACTTGCAAATTGGTCTTCTTCATAAATTCATTCAAGAGCTATTTTGACAGCTTTCCAAGGGGCACGTCCTCAGTTCGTATGAAAATTCAATGCTCTGGAGTGGCTGGATCCATTTGCGCGATCAATGGATTGCTTTCTTTCAAGAGTCATGAATTCCTGAACAATGTAGGTGGGCACATTGAGAACCAAATGTACATCTTATATGTGCTGCCTTTGGGTCTTACACAAATGGCTGCATTTTGTCTGCATTACCCAGAGTTGCATGGAGCTGCAGGGTCTTTCCTTTCTATAGGTTTTCGTTCCCCATTCTATCCCTTTCTGAATATGCAATGGGGCTGCTTCCAGCAGCTTCTGTGGCCACTACCAAAAATGGATGCCAGGATCCCTCATCCCCACAAAACACATAGAAGACACCATTTTTATTTTCCTTCAGCAAGATTTATTTGGACAATAGAAATTCTCAGACAGCAGGCATCTGCTTCCCCCGCTCCAACCTGCTGTTTCTGATGACTTCTGAGTATTCTTTGGGCAAATCTAGTGCTTGGCATTCTTGGATGGCTCTTGGCACTGAGTGGTTGCAATTAGCAAATAAACAAGCAAACAGGCTCTGAATGTGTTTATCCCAATGAAAAAGAAGAAGTGAACAGTCTGCTGATCAAATTTGCAGATCAATAACCAGGGCAGTGGCCACAACTGAGGAACACGTACTCCAGTTCCAAAGGGATCTGGACAGACTATGGAAGTGGGCAGGAGTCAATAGATGGCGTTCAATCTGGATAAGTGCAAGGTCTTGCACTTGAGGCATAGGAATGGATGTCGTAATTACAGGTTAGGGGACAAGTGGCTGGAGAGCAGCACTTGTGAAAGGGACCTCGGGGTGCTGGTTGACTGCAGGCTAAACACGAGTCAGCAGTGTGTTGCGGTGGTCAAGAGGGCGAACGCCACCCTTGGTTGCATAGCCAGAAGCATGGCTTCTAGACTGAGAGAGGTATTACTACCACTCTATACGACTCTGGTGCCCCCGCAACTGGAGTATTGTGTTCAGTTTTGGGCCCCTCGTTACAGGAAGGATCTAGCCAGGTTGGAGTCAGTGCAGCACAGGGCCACAAGGATGGTGTCCGCATTGCAGCGGATGCCGTATGAGGCAAGACTGAGGGAATTGGGTCTCTTCAGCCTGGAGGAGAGGAGACTGAGAGGGGATATGTTGGAGACATACAGGTATGTGAGGGGATGTCACATAGAGATGGGTAGAGACCTGTTCTCCCCTGCAGACGAAGGCAAGATGCGCACCAATGGAGCAAAGCTCAAGGAGCCAAGGAGGGTGTGGAATGGGCTTCCACGGGAGATGGTTAAGGCCCCATTGAAGAGGGTGTTCAAAGAAAGGCTGGACATGCACATGGTGGGCATGTCGTGAGCGAAGCTGGCTGGAGCCAAGGCTCAGACTAGATGGCCCGGGAGGCCCCTTCTGACTTCTAAATGTTTCTAAAATCCCTCAGATTCACCATGAATTAGACTCCACAGTGGATGTGACCCTGCAACGGGAGGCATCCAGAGCATCGACTGGTCTTTAGTCCCACCCTCCAACCATTTACTCCAGCTTTGGCCTTCATGGCTGCTCATCAGAGCCAAGATTGGGATGTCTACCTGGATCCAGGAGGTTGTCAACACCTCTCTAAGGGAGGGTCTGGTCCCACCCATGAAGAGGGCAGTAATCACACTCCTCCTAAAGAAGACAAACCTTGTCCTAGGGACTGCTGCTAATTTTAAACCGGTGGCTAACAGCCCATTCTTGGACAAGGTGCTCTAGCAGGTGTTGGCCAGGCAACTCCAAGTAAGGTGCTCGAGTGAGTGTAGACTGGGCAACTCCATCTGGACCCAGTTCACTCTGGCATCAGGCCTGGCTAAGGGACTGAAACTGCCTTAGTCACCCTGTATGATGACCTGTGCAGGGGGAGGAACAGGGGAAGGGTGTCTCTCTTGGTTCTCCTGGAACTCTAAGCAGCTTTCACTACCATCAACCATTGTATCCTTCTAGATAGGCTGGCTGAGTTGGGCGTCAGGGGTACTGCTGTGCAGTGGTTCCACTCCTACCTGATGGCCTATTCCAGAAGGTGATGCTGGGGGATTCTGGCTCTGGGCCATGGCAGTTATGGCATGGAGTTCCTCAGGGCTCTATTTTATCCCTCATACTGTTTAACATCAACAGGAAACCAATGGGAGAGTTCATCTGAGGGTTTGAGCTGAGAAGTCACCAGTACGTTGATGACATCCAGCTCTGTCTCTCTTTTACATCTAATCCAGGTGAGGCAGTGGCTGTCCTTAACCAGTGTCTGACCGGTGTGATGGGCTGGATGAGGGCCAATACATTGAGAATTAATCCAGACAGGATGGAGGTCTTCTTGGTAGGTGGTCCAACTCTGTGGGTAAGTGATCTTTGCAGTCTTCCAGACAGGGTTGGACTTCCCTGAAGGGCCAGGGAGTGTAGTTTGGGAGTGGTCCTTGACCCAGAGTTATCCTTGGAGTTCCAGGTGCCTGATGTTGCTAGGTGTGCCTTCCGTCAGCTTCGGCTGTCCCACCATCTCTGCCCTTACTTGGATGAGCACACCCTAGCAATGGTGACCCATGCTCTGGTAGCCTCCTGATTGCACTATTGCAATGCATTCTACATGGCGCTGCCCGTTAAGATGGTCTGCAGACTTCAATTGGTCTAGAAGAGAGCAGCAGCGTTGCTTAAAGGGATCAGCAGATGGAAACATATAATGTTGGCCATGTACCATTTGCATTGGCTTCCAAATGAAATCCAGGCCCAGTTTAAGGTTCTCCTGATGACTTATAAAGCCCTAAATGGTGTACAACCTGGATATTTGAAGGAGTGCCTCCTTCCATATGTTACCTGCCCATACCTTCTGAATTGGAGGTCCTTCTTTGGGATCTCTCTCTGAAAGAAATAAGAAGAGTGGCTACCTGGAGAAGGGCCTTCTCTACATTAGCACCCTGGCTGTGGAATAGTCTCCCCAGAAAGGTGTGCCTGGAGCCAACTCTGTTTTCATTTCGGTGCCTGGCCAAATCTTTTTTATTTTCTCATTATTCAAAAGTTAATAGTGATTTAAGATTGAATTTTATTTATTGTAATTTTCAATGCTGTATCTTATTTATTTATTGTATCACTGCCCTGAGATACTGCAAAAAGTGGGATGTAAAAGCTTTAAGTAAAATAAATAAATGAATCAAATAAACAGTGGCTGAAGGACTGAGCCATGTCTGGTTAGCCCCCAGCCTGACTCTTGACTCTGCCAGCTTAAAGGTCACCAGACAACCTCTGAAATGCCCCTCGGAGCCTCCAGCTGCATTCTGAGAGAAGAGCACTGGCCAGCACCGGTCTCTCTGCAGCTCTCAGGCCCCTTGGCGCTCTCCTCATCCTGACCTCTATGAAGTGGCCAAGGAGTGCTTGAAGTGCTTCATAATGCCCAAGTCCAGCGGGCTGAATGCCACCAGTCTCCTGCAACAGGAACCACCCAGTGCTGTGGTGCACTTTGGGGACCTTTGCAGCCAAAACTGATCCCCTCAATCGGGAAAAAGCAGAGCTCCCTCCACCTGGAGACTGATGAGGCTGCCAGAGAGCAAATTCTCACTGCTGCTCTTATGCATCCTCTATCAGACCATGAAATTCTTGCCTGCCATTTCTAGAACCCAAATGTTTCCTTCTGGGCTGAAGCCACTTCCTCTTCCTCTGCTTGTGGGGCACTGGGAACCATGGGACCTGCCTGGATTCTTCCATGATGATGATGGTGGTGGTGGTGGGCCTGCTGCTGGGGCTGCTGCCTGGAGAGGCCTCCTCAGGCTTGGGAACAGGCATGGCTGCCTTGAGGAGCTTCCTGCAGGTTGCTCTGCAACATTGATCTCTCTCTCCCAGGAAGTGCAAGTTCCCCTGTGCTCAGCACTGGCCCTTTCAGGCCACCAGTGTTCTCCACCAACCGCAGACATGAAATTGGACACACAAAGGGGGTTTGGCTGAACCCCAGTGGGGCCCCTCAGGTGTGCTAGACTATCTCCTCCAGCATTTCTGGTCAGCATGAGGATAGGAATAGGAATCCCACACAGCTGGGGAGCACCAATCTGGGGAAGTGGCAGCTGGATGAGTTTCAGCTGCTCAAAGATTTGCCTGCCATGCAACATCTCAGGGAGCTCAGGCCCACCTGGGAAAAGCTGAGGGCCCCACGCTCAGGAACCCAAGGATATGGAATGGGCTTCCATGGGAAGTGATTGAGGCCCCATCAACTGAGGCTGTTCAGGGGAAGAATGAACCACCAATTGTTAAGGATGGCATGAGTAGGATGGGCTGGAGCCAGGGATCAGACGAGGTGGCCCTGCAAACCCCTTTAGGTTTGCCATGTTTCCGTGTTTGCTAGCTTGTGCTTTCACTAAAAATCACTCTGGTATTCCTGTTCTTACTTTCCTATCCTGACTTTTCCCTCTTCAAAGGGGCCCAAGGCAGGTCACATGGTCCACCTTCTCCTCACTTTATCCTCACAACAGCCCTGTTAGGTAGGATAGG